CTTGCGTTCCTTACTTTGCAATACAGGTATGAGTATTGCGTAATCGTTGTGAACAGTCTAGAATTATTACGCAAATCCCCCAATATAGCACCTGAGCCAACATACAAAAATGCTCATTTGAAAAAGCAACAACACATTAAGCGATTTTCTCGAACAAAAAAGTTCAAAACACAAAAAACGACCACCACTTTTCGATGAAGTAATCAAGCAAACACTTCGACACCAACGTATAAACAAAGCGTTCGTGTCAGTGTAATCAAACAATGCATAAACAAATGAAAAATGAAAAAAATCAACACGAGCAGACCCAAAATCACTTTCAATTACTCGTAATTGTCCTCTCAAAACAAGATTTTGCCAAACTTTCTGTACCATTAGTCATTTCCTTCAAAGCATCTCCATTTTCGACAACAGGCTTCGGAAGCTGACCGATCTTGTCAACCATATCGTGTGTTTCGTAAAGCATTGGCTTGGACAAGTTTGCCTGAAATCACATTTCATATCCATACTAAAACTGAAAAATCTCTTCCGAACCATTGTACAAAAAATTGCAGTGAAGAATCCCTTCCGAACCATTGTATAAGTTCTGTAATCCATCAATTATCAAATGTTCAATGCGAGCGCAATTCAAATTGAATCTGAATAATTGAAAGTCAATCGCAACAAATGAGTGAATAAAGAAAAATAAAAACATACTAAATTCTCNTGTGATAGGTATTCGGGATGATACTGAACACCGACAAAGTATGGATGATCTGCAACCCATGTGAGCATATCAAATTCGAACGAATGGATTAGTGAGGTGGATCAATACGAGAAAAAAATTTACAAATAATAACAAATAAGCTACGAGTGGGCAATAAACTCGCTCTGAATGCACAAAAACACGTTCAGAATGAGGAATGAATGCGATTGAGAAGAAGAAACCAACCGATCAGTTCGGCTATCTCCATTCGTACAGCCGTTTTCTTGACGCCGTCTCCACCACGACTACACACCTCACGAATTTTCCACAACAATTTCTGAAAGTCAATTCCAACTTCAAACCAACCAACCAACCAATAACACAAATCGCTCATTGTCAAAAACTGCACACACCCATCCATTCCATATAATAACGCACTCAAAAAACCCAAAACAGTTCCAAATTTCAAAATCAATTCACCTCATCAACTGACGTACGATGCGGTGTATCACCAACACTGTTATTATCATTCGACTCCAATTCATTTACGTGATTCAGTTCTACTGAATTCTCTGACTGCGTATCAAGTTCGGCTAA